AGACAACCTCTCGTCAATATGCGTTTTTCGCATTGCATTGCTGCAAAAAACGCATAAAAACGTATAACTAGTTGTGCGTTTTTACTTATATGCAAATGCAAAAACGCATACTGTGACGAACCCGATGTGTGTGTGTCTGTCCGGATATTTTAACTCGGCACCCAAGCAAACTCCGGCGCCAGAATTCTGCCGGCGGGTTCCCCGGCCAAGTACCACCCCAAGATCGCGGTACCAACTCCTATGCAAGTCTGGGCCCCACGCACGAGGGGATTAAAGTTTTGGCGGAAAAATTGCTAACTCGGGAACCAGGAAAGCCAGAAAGTTGAAATTTCGAGGTTATGTCTTCCATCTCATAAAACTCAAAGATTTCAAAGTCAGCCCAGGTGTGCGTGATTCCGGCGTATGGCCCTGTAAGAGTTCCTGGCGCGAAAATCACTAACTCAGGGACGAGGAAAGCTGGACGGCTGAAAATTTCAGGGAATGTTCCCAACACAAGTACAACTTACAGTTATCAAACTCAGCCCTTCAGCGTGCCTAGTACTTACGTACGGCCTCGTGGAAATTTTTGGTGGGATAGCGGCTAATTCGGGAACCAGGAAAGCCAAGAAGCTCAAATTTTCAAGGAATGTTGCCAGCCCATGTATGACCTAAATTCATCAAACTCAGCGCCTGGGCTTGCGTGGTTGTCACGTGCGGCACTGTGAAAACTTTTGGCAGGAAATTGCTTTCTCAAAAACCAGAAAATTTGGAAAGCTAAAATTTCAACGAAATGTCCCCTGTCCATGTCCAAATACCACGTAGACAATTAACTTCCCGAACTTCGAGGACCAGTATATCACACAATTCTAGCTACTGGGTTTCCGAGCGATCTCATTATAGCACGAAATATTGCAAAAACGCATGATCGCACGGGCCCGCCGGTGCGCGTCACCAATGATTTGTAGTAGTTTTTATGCCTTTCCACATATTTTTGCAAATGCAAAAGTGTGTATTGTACGACCGGTGGCGTGTGCGTGTGTATATGTATGTATAAGCGTCTGTCTGGGTATTTCATGTCAGTTTTGAAAATGGCCAGCATATGGCGATTCCCCACTTACCCAGTTGTGTACTGTTTTTGTGCTTCTGGCCAGAAATATTTTTTGCCGGAAACACCGAGATATTAGCAATGCAAAGGAAGATAGAAGTCCGCGGAAAAATACAAGGATTTGTTGACAGTGTGCGTCCCGTTAATACCACTAATAGCAAATTCTCATGGCAGCTGTCGGGTCGCTTCTGATGTTCGAAACATTTGGTCTGAATTCAAATTCATTTTAATCTCAGAAATGGATTTAAGTTTCTGCACTTTGGAGTTTCAGAAAGATCAAAACATCCTTATGACGAGGTGAGTTTTGGAGAGAAAACACTGCTACCTTATCCCCCTCCCCTCCCCCCCTCCCCCCTCCTCGTACCTGTGACTGTTATGGCCACTCAGGCCTGCGACTATTCACTAGTGTTTCTGTACTTCAGGTAACAATGGAAGAAAATCGTGACAGTTGGTGGAGTGGATTTTTCTCCAAAACTTCGATAATTTGCGACGCTGCTGAAGTCGACGACGAATCCACTGCATTGCTACTACCTGTCATTGGGTAAAAATACATTTCTGGCTATTACAAGCATGTTTTAGACATTCTTCAGCGTAAAAGTGCTATTACACAAAGAAGAAGCAAGTGAAGGAGAGTGACGAAAGCGACTGACTTTACTTTTGTGCAGATGAAACTCATAAATAAAAAACGCTGCGTACCCGCAAAATTTGACCAAGATTTTCTAGCTGGATAAGGATTTGTACTGATAAAAATTTCACAAGATTGGTTAGACAAGGACGGGGACAGCTGTAGGGGGGAAGTTTGATAAAAAGAAAAAACTAAGCCTGAAACAAGCAAAATTTAGCCAAAATAACACCGATAACACAGTCAGAAATGCAGTGAGGGCAAAAAACTGACTCAATTCGAATCAAAAACTTTTTAAAAAGACTCAGTCCGGCTCAAAAACTTTAAACAATTATTTTTAAGCAAATGGAAGGCCAAAACTGGTGTATCTTTGTCCAAGGTTTGCTAAACGTAAGAAATTTGATGAATAGAGTGAGAAGTTGCAGGTCTGATGGCGCATTCACTGGACTGGATCCAATTTCACTCCGGACACTACGGATGCTAATCAACTGCGTGGAACCCGTGTTACAAGTCGACGAGTTGACACTAATCATAAGCAGTTCAAATTCACTGCACCAGACTGCTTGCACATTGGCCGCGCTGAGAATTGGTGCTGTGCCGCACATAGTAAGTGCCTTCTTGGTTGCGAGGTACCCCATTCTCGATCCGGTCTATCATTACTTAGAAAATCACTGTTACTATTATCTTCATTGATGATATTACTTTTTTCACATTCTTACTCATGAATTTACCTTTCATATTTTTACTTCCGCCTTCATTTTCATGCGTTTTTTGCAGCTATGCAATGCAAAAACGCATATTGTCGAGGGGCTGTACGTGTGTGTGCGTGTGTGTGTATGTGTGTGTGTACGTATGTGTGTATGTCTGTGTGTGTCTGTGTGTGCGTCTGTAACGAGTTTTCATCTCGAGATCCACAAAAGCTACAAG